CTCCTCTCCTCTCCTCTCCTCTCCTCTCCTCTCCTCTCCTCTCCTCTTCGCTAGACTAGGCATGTCTTGTCTAAAGCTAATTCTTCTTTTTCCAGCCTTAGGCTTTCTTTATAGTGAGGAAGGAAAATTATTTTTTTAACAGTCTCAGACCACAATGAAGCCACCTTTACACGCCATAATAGACATTCATCTAGGTTGATCTGTGCAAACCCAAGTGAAACAGAAGGAATACGATCCATTAGGGTTGGTCTTGCTACAGCAAACTCCTTAAAAATAACCCTCCACTATTTCATGTTCAGATATAACTTATTTTCCTTGCAAATAATTTACTGAAAACCCATCTAAATGTCCTGGTTTCCAAGACTGATCAATCAAGTCAATGAAGTCAAATATGTTTTTAATTGGAGTAGAAGTCGCAATATAAAAGAATATGTGTGATTTCCATTGTCCCAAACAGTCTGAAATTGCCTGATTGAAAGTCTGCCTGAATCTGCAGCCCCGAATCTATGTATATTTAATATGCTTTAAAGCAGGGGTGTCCAACCTTGGCAACTTCACTTGCAAGGCTGGCTGGGGAATTCTGGGAGTTGAAGTCCACAAGCCTTAAAATTGCCAAGGTTGGATACCCCTGTTTTGAAGGAAGAATTTTTGTAGTTTTGATGCTGCGGTTCTAACAGTGTGCAATTTCTGAATACTCTTACTGATCAGATTAGATCAAGCCGGCATATCTGTAGTATATTGTACTTTTGAACCTCGGTATATTTTGGGGTGGCTTCCTCATAAAGCTTGTAAGATCCAGCAAGATATCAACTCAGCATTGCTTATTTTAATTTGCACTCTTAGATATACAGAGGATTATAATTGCCCAAGCCACTGTTTTTTAAAAGCAGGTAATTATCCTTTCCAGTTTCCCTTGATGCTCTTGGTTCTTCGTATCTCACAAATCTACCTCCTCTTTAAGACCTCCTAACTCCTGACATTTAGTCAATTCACGGCTTAAGAGTGCTCCTTGTGCTTAAAAATATTAGCTAGATTAAAAAAAAGTTACATAGAAAGGATAAAAGGCTAGGTTGAACTGTGCTTTGCCCAAGTATCAAAGTGAGATCTTGCTAACTTTTAATAAGTTGTGTGCTGTAGCTTTTGGAGGAAGATTTAAACTTTGGAGGATATTTAGGGAGTTGATATTAGCTAATTATTATTAATTCGTGTGTGGGATAATGCTCTGTTTATCACTCTATATGCACTGGAATAAAGGGGAAGAAGAGATAAAAATTAATTGTAGGAACTGAACATATAGGATGGGATGGGGTGGGGTGGAGTGGAGTGGAGTGGAATGGAATGGAATGGAATGGAATGGAATGGAATGGAATAGAATAGAATAGAATAGAATAGAATAGAATAGAATAGAATAGAATAGTTGGAAGGGACCTTGGAGGTTTTCTAGTCCAACCCCCTGCTTAGGCAGGAAACCCTACCCCACTTCAGACAAATGGTTATCCAATCTCTTTTTAAAAACTTCCAGTGTTGCAGCATTTACAACTTCTGGAGGCAAGTTGTTGCATTGACGAATTGTCCACCCTGTCAGGAAATCCCTCCTTAGTTCTAAGTTGCTTCTCTCCTTGGTTAGTTTCCATCCGTTGCTTCTTGTCCTGCCTTCTGGTACTTTGGAGAATAGCTTGACTCCCTCTTCTTTGTGGCAGCCCCTGAGATACTGGAAGACTGCTATCATGTCACCACTAGTCCTTCTCTTTGTTCAACTAGATATGTCTTGTTTAAATCTAATTCTTCTTTGACATAATCAAAAATATTTGTAGCTTGGGTTTTAGATTTTAGCAGTGATTTGCTCTCCAAACTTGTTTCCATTTAGTTCCCAAATGGTTAACATCATCAGCTAAAGAGGAATAGGGCAAGAAAAGCCTGCTGATGACTTATCTAGTCATATAGTCTTATCTTATAGACTTATTTTATAGACATACTTATCCTATAGACTTATCTGGTCTGGTAATGAAATGTTTGGGAACTAAATGGAAACAAGTTTGAAGACCAAACCACTGCCAAAATCGAATCTTCTTTTTCCAGTCTTTAACTTTCTTTACAGTGAGGAAGGAAAATTCTTTTCTTTTTTTTTTTGCAGTCTCAGACCACAAATAAACCACTGTTACATGCCATAGTTGTCATTCATCTGGGCTAATCTGTGCAAACTAAAATGAACCAGAATGATCTGTCTTGCTGCACAACCTCTTAAAAAATATCCTCCACTATTTTGTCACTGGTTATTTCATGCTAAGATAAAACTACATGCCTGGCGAATAATTTATTTAGAGACTTCAACAGTGCCCAAAAACATGAAGGAAGGTGCCTTTAGATCAACTTGGTCTAAAGCCTATCACACAAATAGACAAGGGACTTTCCCAGAAAGAGTTAATGGATGAATATGGAATTTCCTTTCTGCCAGACTGGTACCCGTCATAGCTTGTGACCCTGGCTGTTGCATGTCTTTGTATGGGTTATGCTTCCCCTGTTGTTGTGGCCTGACAATGGTGCTGGCAGCAGACTCAGACAGTGAGGAGGTTGGGGAGGAACATGGGCCAGTCCTGGAGTCTGGGGAAGGCTCGGATGAGGGCTCTGCATCGGAGGCAGAGTTGGGGCCAGGCCATCCGACAGTTACCAGCTGCCTTTGGAGTCGGAGATCAGTGGGGCAGAAGAACAGCTGGAGCCTGTTCCCAGTGAGTGCATGCACAGAATTGCCAGGAGAAGGGAAGGGTTAAGGAACAAGGGTCAACTCGGGAGTAAAGGCACAAGTGGATGGTGAATGGTCCCTCCCATTAAAGAGCAGTGAAAGGGGAGTGGTGTTTGCAGGAGACAATTAGTTCATTTAATTAGTGTGAAGATTTGATCCTGACTCCTTGCCAAGTATTTTCTTGTACAGCTTTGCACTTAGAAGCTATTGGCCTGGCAGCTCTCTAAGCCTGACGAGGTCTGTGGTTGTAATTCACCCTTGAAAGATTCTTTGCCAGGACTTTGCTGGATGTGAATGATAGGAATTCACATTAGCATAATGGAAAGGGGTTTTGTCGGGAGAAGGAGTCTGCTTCGTGATGTCGTGAAGCCTTGGTCAGAACACCTCTGTTCCGCACCCACTGCCCTTTTTCTGCTGATAATCCCTCACACCTTCTGTTGTGTTGCTTGCAGATGATGGGAAATTGTCCTTGGAAGAATTCCAGGCCTTCTTTTCTGATGGAACTCTTAATGAGGAGGAGTTGGAGAAACTTTTCCACACCATCGATTCTGACAACACCAGGTGAGTCCCTTTAGATTCCTGAACTGCTTTGCCCCATCAAGACAGGCACTGACGTCTCCACTTCTTCCTGGACCGAGCCGACAGGGATGGGAAAGCCACTGAAAACTCTGTGCACAAAGAAGTGAGACAGGAAGGACTCGATGGGCACGTGTGATGAGGATGTTGTTTTGAGATTGTATAATATCAGGCCTAAGCCCAAAGATGACACGCTGAAATCCAAATGAGTCCAATTCTTCATTTGCTTACACCTAATAGACAGAATCTTGCCCGAGTAAAGCTATAATCTTCTAACCTAATGGATGTACTCTTAGAGATTCTAGGGCAGGGGTGTCAAACTCAAGGCCCGGGGCCTGGATTCAGCCCATGGGGTTCTTAGATTTGGCCTGCAGGGCCACCCTGGAAACAGCGATGTACCGGCCCACGGTGCCTCTGCCAGTAAAAACAGAGCTCAGTTTTTGCTGGTAGAGGGTTGCAGGAGGCCATCACAACCAAAAACGGAGCTCAGGCACCCATTCATTGGAAGAATTCATTGGAAGAATCCATTGGCAGAGCTCTCGGGCCACCACAGGCGCCCCCGACAGGAGTGACGTCAAGCTGGCCACACCCACCTTTGCTATGCCCGCCCCCCCCCAAGGTCAAGTACAACCCTGATGTGGCCCTCAATGAAATTGTGACACCCCTGTTCTAGGGCATGCTTTGAAATTCAACTGCCACATAATTCAAGGGGGGTGGAGGACTTGAAAAGTTCAAGATCATTCTGTATGTCGTGCTAAGAAATTCCAGTTGCAGTTAATTGGTTCTCGTGATTTATGAAGTGTAGAAGTGGCAGGAGAGAAGGTGGATTCTGTGTAATGCACAAAACTACTTTCTCTTTGGGAAATTGCCTTAGACGTACCAAATCTGTTCCTAAATAAATCAATTGGAGAGAATATGTCTCGGAATGATTGACATCATGGATACTTTCTGGATGCCTTACAGCATGGATATCCTAACCATTTCCCTTCGACTCCCATCTTGACTGTTCAGACTCTTGTCTTGGAATCCATAAGTTCTAGTCAAGCTTTATTGCTTATGCCTATACAAAATAATCTAATCAGCTAATGATCAGGATTAAATTGGTGCTGGATAAGAATAAACAGAATTCAAGAAGGGTTGGACTGAGACCTCTTGTGGGAACGTAATGATTCTAGGCTGATTCCTCTCTTGACTCCTCCCTCAGGCTCTGCCTGGCCTTCTCTTATATTTTGGGATGCTCAGGCAATATGGAGGTGACCTTGCCAAGGGTAATGGGGCAATTCAGTGGTGGTGTCATGCCCCTGTTGGAATCTAATTCCGAGGGGGAGGTCGAGCAGCTGACAGGGAGTGGGAATGTGGCTCCAGTGGCTGTGGTAGAAACTGGGGAAGGGCACAGTCTGGCTCAGCATTTAGAGGAAGACCCAGTCCCACCCCCTCTTCATCCTAGGGCACGCAGGGAGGAATGGAGAAGGGAGCAACGTGGGTTACAGGGGAGAAAAGGGCCCTGATTCCCTTCATTAGCTGCAGCTGGGAGAACAGGATTTGAAAAGGGTGTTTGCGCACAGCACCTTGCTGGAAGCAAAGCGTGAATTATCTTTGTCTGTCAAGTCTTATCTAGGTTCTGGCGTCCTCCCAACTCTGGGTGTTTCATTATCCTTTGAAGTCTGCAATCCCTTATCCTGCCCTGTCTCGTTAATTGCTGCAGCGTGGTTTGCGTTGCTTTTTATTTATAATCTAGATGTACTTTGGGTTCGGAGTGAATTTCTTCCCTTTAAAAACTGTTCTTGGGAGAGTTTTTTCTCCAGCTGATGATAACTGGACATTGGGGGCCAAGTTGGAGGAATTAAAGGGACTTTACCTTCTTTTGTGACTTTGTTGCTTTTGTGCCACGCCCTGGGTCATCACAGGTGGTATGCTACCAGTTTGGACCAGTTCGGCGGAACCGGTAGTAAAAAAAAAAACTACCGGTACAGCCAAACCGGTTCCTCTGACAATCGGCTGAGAGGATAAAAGAAACAACAAGTGCAGGTGGGCAGGTGGGACGGTTGCTCCTAGCTTTTCGTTTCTTCATCCTCTCCACTAATTGGTGCATTAGGGGGCGGCAATCACCCACCAAACCGCTAGCGACCAAGGTAGGAACCCACTACTGGGGCAATTGATCACACAGAGGGGGATTTTGTGATTATGGGGTCCCACATCTAGAATGCCTGGTCTAGGGAGACATGCCAGAAACCTACATTGACACCTTTGGATGGTGAACAAAGAGATTTGCTTTTCTATATGCATTTCCATATTTTTAGGCTCAATTTGATTTTGAGTACATTCTCTCTATTGGTGTGATGGATTTTATGTTTCCCATAATTATCTTTTTTAAATTTTGTAATTGCCTTCCATTGTTTGGCTGTTTGTCGTTTGTCATTTTTTAAAAGAACTTTTTAAATCAGTGGTTTTCGCTTCAGAGAAAGATCTATATATACTTACAGTCATTACCCAAATATAGTTACACTATATTTTAAGGTTTAATTAAAGTTTCAATTACCTTAGCTTCTGATTCCTCCCTGAATTGCGAGCCTTCCACTGATTGAAAGTCTAATTTAGAGAAGTAAAAGAAATATGTAGTTTCTTTTGATGAAAAATGACACAGACACAAAAAAAGACATTTTCACATAAGAGCTATGCAGAAAAAAAATATGCCAGTATGCAATACAGTCCAATACAAGAAAATATAACATATGATATTTAGGGGGGGAAACTGCCAAAGATTGCAATTCATGGAAAAACAATCTTGCATTTTTAAGACCTTGTTTTCAAAATGTATTTACAGGAATAATCTGAGGAAACTTTTCTGGCTAAACGCAGAATTTCCTGTATTTCTGTAACAAGGAGTATGACCAAGGAGTTTATACATGAAATTTATCTGTTTTATAATCTTTCTCCAATCTTCTTTAGTTATTTGGGTTTTCTTTTTCTTTTTGTGTTTTTAAAGAGAAGGAAAACAGCATTCTATCCACCATATCATAAACATAAACTCAATTACACTCAAAGACCAGCTTAGAACAATGCTGTATAAAAAGTAAATAAATAATATAAAAGTAATCCTCTACTTACAACAGTTTCTGTAGTGACCATTCAATGCTACAACGGCATTGAAAAAAGTGACATGACCATTTTTCACAATTATGGCCTGTCAGGTCTACCTCCATTCAAATCCTAAGAAAGAAAACACCCAACTCTATTTTTACTCTAGAAATTCTAGAGGCTCTAGAAAGAGTGCAGAGAAGAGCAACAAAAATGATTAGGGGACTGGAGGCTAAAACATACAACGAACAGTTGCAGGAACTGGGCCTGGCTAGTCTAGTGAAGAGGAGGACCAGGGGAGACATGATAGCGGTCTTCCAATACTTGAGGGGCTGCCATAGAGAGGTGGAAAGGGTCAAGCTGTTTTCCAAAGCACTTAAAGGCCAGACAAGGAACAACAGATGGAAACTGAACAAGGAGAGATTCAACCTGGAAACAAGGAGAAAGTTTCTGACAGTGGGAACAATCAACCAACGGAACAGAAGTTGCCCTCGGACACTGTGGGACCTTCATCACTGGAAGCTTTCAAGAAGAGACTGGACTGCCATCTGTCAGAAATGGTGCAGGGGCTACTGCTTGGGGGAGGGGGTTGGACTAGATGACCTACAAAATCCCTTCCAACTCTCTTATTCTGTTACTAAGAATGAACTGATAGCAGGGAAAGCAAGGCAAGATCTGGAATAAGCCACACAAAAGTTTGACAGTGAAAATCACCCCATCGTTCAGCATAGAGAGTCCAATCAGCGTCCAATAAAAATGTTATGGGAAAATCTCCTATGCAGAAGTTTTGTGACTTAGGACGGTTAGCCTTGAAGAAGTATAACAACCAGAGGTGGTATTCAGCCGGTTCTGATAGGTTCTGGAGAACCGGTAGCAGAATTTTGAGTAGTTTGGAGAACCAGCAAATCCCACCTCTGACTGGCCCATCTATTCCCTGCCTCCCATCGAGTCCCAGCCGATTGGCTGGGTCTTCTTTGGTTGGCCTGCACAGGAGAACGGAGCTGGAAAGCAGGTTAATGGGGTGGGTAGGGAAGTGGGATTTTGCAGTATCCTTCCCCTGCCATGCCCACCAAGCCACGCCCACAGAACCGATGGTAAACAAATTCGAATCCCACCACTGATAACTCCACTCAGTAGCACCAGAGTTCATGACGGCAAACCTCCCTTCCAATTTTCATGGGACTGCTAAACACCAGCTTGCTTCCCCATCCCAAAGGCCTAAACCCCCCTCCCTGTTTCTATGGCTGCCGAGAGCAAGCAAGCTTCAGGAAAACCAAGCTGGAAATCCAGCTGACACGAACCGTTCGCAGCATCCCTTTGGTCTCCTGATCCAAATTCACATGCTTGACAACTGACCCACATTTATGACGGTTGCAGTGTCCCGCAGTCACGCGATTCCCCTTTTGTGGCCTTCTGACAATCTAAGTCAATGGGGAAGCCAGACTCATTTAACAACCGTGTTACTAACTTAACAACTGTAGCAATTCACTTAATAGCAGTGGTGGGATTCAAAAAAATGTTACTACAGGTTCTGTGGGCGTGGCTTGGTGGGCATGGCCATGTGACAGGGTGGGCATGGATTTTTTTGCAGCAGCAACCCCCTCCCCCCCAGTTGGGGGGCCTTCTGGGCCTTAGGCAAGCCTCCAGGGGGGCATTTTTGCTCCAAGGAAGCTTCCCTGGGGCTCAGGAAGAGAAAAAATGGAGCCTGGAGGGGGCGCACAGCACCCAGACACACACACATTTCATTTTGGGACTTCCTGGGTCTCAGGGAAGCCTCCTGGGCAAAGCAGCAAGTAAGCAAGGGGAATCCCAGCACAGCTGATCGTAGGAACAGCTGATTGTCGGGAGGGGGGAAAAAAAGAAATACCTTAAGAAGTTCACTGGGCAGGGCAAGTGTCAGGCAGATG